GCTCCTCACAGGGCTGCAGCCTCCCCTGAGCCGGGTTGGGTGAGGCGCGGCCTCCTCCTGCTCCGAAAGGGGCCCTGCTTTTGTGTTTTGAATCATTTCCCCAGTTGGTGCGAGGAGGCCTCCAGCAGCAGCAGGGGGGAAATGAATTCTGGAACGAGAGTGAGGGGAGCGGCCGTAACCCGCCGGCCATAACGGGGCCTTCAGAGCGTCCGTCCCTCCGCACCGCCACAGCCTGGCCGAGTCGGGAACGACCAGCGAGAGGGACGGGATGCGGGCCAGCGGAGAGGCAGGGGACACAGCCGAGGAACAGCTTTAATGAAGAGAAGCAGCTCTGATTTATAGAAAAAAAAAATTCCAAATATTTTTAACAGTTGACTGTTTTTGTTAAATGAAGGAAATTCCACGAAGTTGTCAAAACTCTGCCTCTTAGGGGAAGCTTTATTTCTGACACTGCTGTGTATGCTACCCTTCTAACCACAAAAATCAGCTAAAAATTCAGGCAGGAGTACAGTTCCTTTGCACCTGGAGTCACTTCAGCACCAAATAAATGGGGAAAATGAAAAAAACAAAAAACCTTACACACAACAAAAGAAACCCAACTAATAAAAAAAAAAGGTAGGAAGCCCCTGAAGTTATTTGACTTCCCCAAAAATATACGTGGGGCCTTTCCCCCCCCCCCCCACTTCCCCTATTCTCACACTTGATCCTGCCTTTCAAAGCAAGGACAGTAAGGAATCAAAGACCCTTCAAGCCTGGTGTGGAGTGTGGTGGTTTAGGCAGTCTTCTTGCAAGTAGCAGATCACTTAGTGAGCTGGTTAATGGTGTGTCTGCCTTTCTCCGACTATATCAGGTACCAGCTTATCCCAGTGCCATCCGTATAAGACTGCCCGGTTCCTGATGCAGTTACATGCATTTGACCAATAGCCCAGCCCACTGCCGTGCCAGAGAGCACATTAATACCTTCATTCTCCAACATGTCAGCTTTTGAGTCAGCACTGGTGGTATCTCAGAGGTCACTAAGGGCACCGTAATGGCCTGTTCTACTTGAAAGGAATGACTGGTCCTGGTAAGGGGAATGACCACAGGAAATATGGGCCTTTTCCAGAGAAGGTCTAGATGGTGAGAACCTGCTCAGCCATCACACTAATTACACCAATACTCACAGAAACAACCTGATATGTAAATACTTTTTTCTTCCTCAAACATCATAGCACTCTAAGTTTCTCCCCTTTCCACCCCAACAATTTCAGTCAGGGGGAAAAAGCCAAAAAGGCATGTATGCAAGACATCTCCAGATTGTCAGCACCCATTCAAACTAGTTTACTGGAGTTGTAAATACTATAAAGAACACTGCAAAGGCAAAGAATTACATTGAAGATTCCCCCCCCCCCCTTTA